CCCCAAAACCCCAAAACCCCAAAACCCCAAAACCCCAAAACCCCTTTGCTCAGATATTAAATTGAAAAGACTTTCAACAATTATGCTACTTTATTGTTGTTATTTGTAGCATTGCATCATGATATGAACCCCTAAGGCTGAGAATATAATTCAGGCTCCCAAAAAGTCACTGAAATAAAACTCGTAGTGGAAAATAAGGACGTCTGCAATAAACCCAAAGGCAACTTCAAGGTTGGCTATTGGGGCAGCAGTAGATGCTGGAAGATATTTCAAACTCAATCCGATCAATATCAACCCGAATGTGGTTCCAAATGATGTGCATATAAGCAATAAGACATCTATGAGATCATAAGACCCTATATTTATTAGTCCATCAAAGAATATCCATGCGATAAGTGACACGAGAAAAAGTGTAAATGAGAAATAAAATGGAAACACCATATAATGCCAAATATTCGAGAGTACTCTCTGCATTGAACTATTTCCTGCTCTTGAGAGTCAAGCAATAAAAGCAAAGATATATCCAAGCAATGGATTTGAGTTTGGTACACTCTCATCTGATTTGGATAATGTTAGCACATATCACCCAAAAATAGCACTTAAACCAACTAAGTAATTGATATAAGTCACTTTTTCAGATAGGAATAATCCTCCGATAATTATCACAAAGAGAGGACAAGTGTTTATAATCAAAATACATTTTGTAGCCGATATATATTTGTAAGCCCATACTGTTGGATATCATCTTCATGCTCCTAAAATATTTCATGCAATCAGAAGAATAAGTGCCTTCTTAGAGCATTTCGTCAGCTGGACGTTATTCTTATGCACCTGATAAGAAGTAACAAATACAGCAACAATAGCTCTTACAAAATTAATATCATAAGTGGTCAGCATTGGGTTTCTTCTCAAGGCTAGTTTTCCAAACACAATATTGCTAGCATAACATACAGATGAGAGAACAGCACAAGTGATGCCAAATATGTAACCTTGAGAAGAATTATGATCATTTCCAATACTTTTATATTGACTTCCCTCTTTGTTATCATTGTCAAGAATCTCAAATGATTTGTAATCATTTGCTATTTCCTCAGCCAAAATCATGGACTCATCATAGCTGATGAGCACTGATTTGGAGGGGCATTGCAGATCGTCCGGTAATTTAGAATAAATCATATTTTTAGCTGATGAGAATAATTATTCAATTATCCTTCCAAACTTCGGGGTTTTGGGGTTTTGGGGTTTTGGGGTTTTGGGG